TTATTAGTTTTAGGGTTTTTGTTTGAAGGTTTAAGGGTTGTTGAGGTTTCAGGGTTTAGGGTGCAGGGTTTAGGGGTTCAGGGGTTAGGGTTTAGGGTTTAGGGTTTCGGGCGAGGGATTTGCTTACTTGTTGAAGGGTGTTGGGGTTTCAGAGTTTGTCGGGTTCGGGGGTTTTGTCTTTCTTCGCAACGGCCTTTTTGTTTTCCAATGACGGTTACCCGCCTAAGGTTCTACCGTTGGGTTTGGGGACCCTCTCTCAAGAACCCTAACCCTCAACCCTCAACCCTCAACCCTCAACCCTAAACCCTAAACCCTAAACCCTAAACTCTAAACCCTAAACCCTAAACCCTAGAATAGACGGCCATATTGGGAGTACATTTCAGCCATGTGGGCTGTGACCTTCAGCGTCAGGAGCTGAGGCGCCTTGACCCTAGGTGGGTTTCAGAGCGTTCAGAATCTGGAGGGAGGGTTTAGGGTTTAGGGTTTAGGGTTTAGGGTTTAGGGTTTAGGGTTTAGGGTTTGCTGTGATAGGGCGTAGGTGCTGTGAAGGTTAGGTTTCGGAACCAGCTCAAAAGCTTCGTGAGGTGCGAAGAGCAGCTTTGGCCCGATTGTGGAGGGCCATCTAACACTTTTCTCCCACCCCACGCCGTCCGAGGCGGCAAAACCACCCAAACCTGTTCCTTTTAGGGTTTAGGCCTAAACTCAAGGCAACAGTTCATTTTTAAAAACTTATTCAGTTTCATGATGTTCGGGTGTGGGTCGGAGACAAAGGGCCAGGCTAGGAGCCAGGGAGGCAGGGGGCAGCCGGCATAAGAGCCGGCATAACGGTGGAGTTGGGGGACCGAGCAATTTAGGGGGGCCAGGGGGGTCAAGGGTGGGGAGGGGTTAGCAGGGGGGGCCAGGGGAGGGCCGGGGGGGGCCAGGGGGGCCAGGGGGGGCCAGGGGGGCCAGGGAAACCAGGTTTTTGAGCACCCTCCCTGCCTGGCCTGACCTGAGCCCCCCTGGTCCCTGGACACGCTGCGGTGAGGGTCCGGGTCCTCCTGGCCTGGGGGCCTTGGGGTACCCCCCCCAAAACGGCCAGCCACGCCCAGGGTGAAGGGCTTGGGGTTGAGGGAATTAACTTGATTAAGGGGACCAGTACTGGTCCCTGGGAGAACCTGCTCCGGTACCGGGCCCATCGTGGGTGCTACCGACCTCGGCTGCAGGAGGCGGGCAAGCGACCTGGGTCGACTTTCGCCATAGAGGTCGAAGGGCTCAAGCGCCGCCCCCCCTCTGTAGGGGGGCGGCCTAGGCCCTGAGTTTAGGGTTTAGGGTTTACGGTTTACGGTTTAGGGTTTAGGGTTTAGGGTTTAGGGTTTAGGGTTTAGGGTTTAGGGTTTAGGGCTTGACCTTGAGCAGGGAGATTTGCAGCTGCGAGTGGCTGGCTTCGGCGTGGGCCCAGACCACGTGGAGGCGCCAGGCCGGCTCAGAGAGGGCTCCGAAAGGGTTTAGGGTTCGGGGTTCAGGGTTTAGGGTTTAGGGTTTAGGGTTTAGGGCTTAGGGTTTAGGGTTTAGGGTCTAGGGTTTAGGGATCAGGGTTTAGGGTTCAGGGTTTAGGGTTTAGGGTTTAGGGCTCCGGGCTCTTCAGAGTTTCGTAGGGGTTTGGTTTCGGGCTTCGGGCTTGACACTTTAGGGGAGGGGCTGGGGGTTTGGGAGTTTCGGCGTTGTATCGGTCAGCTGGATGCTATAGCGATGCTGACGTGCCCTCTCCAAGACAGACCCCCGAAGCCCTAAACCACCCCCAAACCCCACAACCCCAAGACCCTAGAACAATAGAACCCAACACCCTAAGACCACAAAAAAGCCCTAAAACCCCCGAATTACAACCCTAGCACCCTGCTGCACTGCATGACTGCTGAATTCGGGCCTCTGTAGGTGCAGGCCCTCCCCAGGGTCCCCTCGCCTCATTGACCCCCCCCTGGTTCTTCCTAGGGGGGGTGGAGGGAATTCTAGGTACCCTACAGAATCCCTGAAATTGGGGTTTCCGAAGTTAGGGGGACATCCCACTATTTGGGGATATCATGCAAAAGGTTTCTTTTCTCATTTTTTTGGGGGGGGGGTGGGGGGGGGCGGGGGGGGGGGGGGGGGGGGGGGGGGGGGGGGGGGGGGGGGGGGGGGGGGGAAGGGTGTGTGTTTATTGAGGTTCTTGGGTCTTTGTGCTTTTTTGTTCTTCTGTTTTTTTGGGTTCAGGGGCCTCGCTTCTCAAAGGCGCCGTCGACGTGGGCGTGTGCCGCGAGGCACACTTTGCTCGAGGTGTTCTTCAGGGTTAACAAATGGTTAAGTTTAGGTGCTTTCTGTTTGCTATTCTGTTATTGGCTCGTATTCAGAAAAATCAGGAATCTCTCGGGGCATTCTTGTGTCAAGGTTTCGGGCAACACCCTGAGGTCTTGAGTCAGTACTGAACCCTTTGCCCTAAACCCGAAAACCCAAAACCTATCCTCGACACCCTAAGCCAAACGCATCTTGGCTCAAACCCACCATATCTGGAAGCTTTTTGAGTTGAAAGATCAACAATCCCTTTGAGCCGTTGGGACTTCTTGGTGTGGCATGCAAGCCCTATATTGTAATCAACGCAAGGCTACAAGCCCCACCCTAAACCCAAACCCCGAAGCCCGAAGCCCGACGCCCTAAACCCTAAACCGTGCATAAATCCGATAAACCTTTGGCTTGTTCTAAAACCACCGAAGCCCTGATCCCTGTCAGAGAATCCTGCAAGCCCTTTAGAGGCCCCACATCAACCCTACAAGAAACCTATGTATAAGCCCTCCGTTCTGTCAGGAAGTCAGAAAACTTTCTGAACTTTTACAGGCCCTAAACCCAAAGCCCTGACCCCCTCCCCCTCCCCCCCGCTCCCTCCCCCTCCCCCCCCACCCCCTAAACCCTACACCCTAACCCCAAACCCTAAACTCCCCGAAGAAAAAAGAGCCCTCCGCAACTAGCTCAGGTGACTGGCCTCTACAGCCAAGCCTCGGACGCCCTCCGGGCTCTCTTTGGCGCGGACCATGAGTTCTACGCCCCGCGGAGCTGTTCAAGAGTGGTGTAAGGTTGACTTTGGGGGTTTAGGGTGTAGGATTTGGGGTTTGGGGTCTAGGGTTTCGGTTCTTGGGTTTGGGATTTTGGGGTTTATGGGGTCTTCCTGTTTGGCTTCAGAGGCTTGAGGGCTGTCTGATCGGAGTTAGGGGCCTTGCAGGCTTTGGGGGGTTTGAGGGTTCACAGGGTTCACACCCTAAACCCTAAACGCTAAATCCTTTCAGCCCTTAAGCCCTAAACCCCAAACCGGTTTCGGGTTTGGGGGGGTTTGGCTTCTTCAAAGAAAACCCTAAACCCGAAACCCTTAAGCCAAATGGATGCGTTTGGCCTACGAACCTGGGCCGCATACCAAAACAAAGCATTCTGGTTCAAGAAGGCTCGAGTTTCTCGAAGTGCCGTAAGTTAAGCAGCTTGACACCTGTTTCTTTTCAAGGCGTGCTTAGGGCGGTTTGTATCTCTGGAATATCTAAGGGTTCCTGGGAGGGTTGCGGGGGCAGCATCCTTGTCGGGGGAGTCCCACTTCCCGCACTTCCCACCAGGTTGCAATCCGGGACAAGCGCGACGCCTTGCGTGACATTTGCACCGCCAATGTGTGGGACAGCCGCAAGGATGTGACTGGGCCAAGCGTGTTGGGGGTTGTTTTTATCCCTTGCTAGCGAAAAATGAGGCTAAAGTGAGAGTTAGCTAAGTATTGATATAGGTATATGCACCATCTTAACGTACTAAGGTTCATGTACCCCCTCTTGGGCTTTAAGGTTGTGTTCAGCGCGCCAACCGTCACGCCACACTCTGCGCCCTCAGGTGACCAATCGCGCCAAGCCCGAGGAAACCTGGTGACGCGCGAAAAAAGTCCCAGGAAAAGGCGCTCAGGTGGAGTGGCTGCCTGTGGGCCTAAACCACCCTAAAACCTAAACCCTGAGCCCTAGACCCTATAAACCCTAAGCCTTAGTAACCTGAAACCTTAGTAGGCCTCTGCCTGTTGGGGGACTCGCTGCGCCCAAAATGAATCCCTCAACCACGAGAGGGTTTTGGGGTTCGGGGCTTTCAGGCTGTTGCCTTCACGCCCTGGACAGAAAGCCGAAACCCTGAACTTCCCACAACCCACCCAAAACCCGAAACCCTAGACCCGAAAACCCCCGAAACCCTAAACCTTAAACCTTAAACCCTAAACCCTAAACCCTAAACCCTTAACCCCCCGCCCCCTCCCTTTGCCGCCATAGCCCTATAACATGACTCCCTGAACCTAAGCCCAATTGCCCTGGTCGGGACCTTTTGGTTTGTCTAAGCTTGGAACTGGAACCATGGGCCGTTTGCATGTGCCCTGAGCCTTGTAAACCCTAAACCCTAAACCCCAAACCCAAACGCTTAACCTTAAACCCACATGAAGGGCCAAATTCTTGGAACCCTAGACTTTAAGGTTTCCGGCATCACGGACAATAGGGCCATGGGAGGTTCAAGTCTCATCTTCGTTCCTTTAATCCTAGTTTCCGAAATGGGGTTTGGGGTTTAGGGTTTGGTAGGGTTTAGGTTCTTGTTTTTTTTCAGTAGGTTCAGTGGGGACTTGGCTATTTGTGCCGGTAGCGTGACAGAGGTTGACTCTATGGATCTGCAGACATGTGTGACGAGCACATGCAGACACAAGCACTGTTCAGGTCCTGGGCGCTGTCCCCGCAACAGCGTGGCCAGACGCACGAAACGGAAGACACATTGCCGTCAGCACTCAACGAGCTGCAGCTCACAAACAGCACAGCTCTACAAGGAGGCCTTCCTATTCTAACTGTAGTTAAGGGACTTATAATCTAATTTAGGATCCTTATAGCCCAATTTAGGGTCTTGGAACTCTACTTATAACTAGGGGGCCCCTCCTTGTAGGCTTTAGCCTTCCACGTCCCACGTCCGCCGCCTCCATTGCCAATGCCATGGGTGAAGACATGGAGGCGGGTACATGTCTCTTCCGACAAAATCCCCACGCCTCGTAAACGCGCAAACCCCCGTTAGCCAAGCCCTTACCGAGGGAGCTTTCCCCAAGCGACCCTTAAAGAGCACCAAACAATTCCTAGGCCCTAGTGTGAAACGTGGTTTGATGTCTCCCCACCCCCCCCCCCCCCCCCCCCCTGGAACAGTCGAAGCTGGTTTTGCTCGCTTTGAACGGTCCACGGGCTTTATACGGATTTCAATGGGATGATTTTATATGAGTTTAGGGTTTAGGGTTTAGGGACATCGAGGCCCGGCATTTGACCGCAAGTGAGGATCCCACCCTGGACCCGCAGACAGTCAGAGGGTCCTGCAGCACCCGGCCAACTTTACTTTCATTCACGATGCCCCTATCAAACCGCAACCCACATCACTCATGAAGCCCTTAACCCATAAACCCCTCAACCCTAAACCCTAAACCCTAAACCCTATACCCTATACCCTATACCCTAAACCTAATGTAGGGTTTCCTCTTGGGCCCGAAGCCGCAGAGGTTACACTTGATGGCGTGGTGGCTCAGATCCGCGAGCTCATCGACAGGACGCATCTACCCGCGTTAGCCGTTGAGCCCACATGGAATAGAAGCTTACTTCTCCAATAGCTGAACTTTACACTGTTTGAGTTTCCTTATTTAGCAGGAATAACGAATCTTAACCTTTTTTCTTTCGGTTATTGGAGAAGTAAGGAAAACTGCCGGGGGTTTTACGGGCCTGCAAATGTTTAGGGTTTCCCTGAGAAGGGGCTGATGATGGCCTTGTAGTGTTTGGAGAAGGCTTCCTCGGGGTGTGTGTTTGCTGGGGGCCGGCATTTATGATAGGGTCCTGAAGGGAGGGGGGTGGTACCTAGGGAACCTTTTTGGAAGCTCAGGAGCCTTAGGGAGTAGTGGGGGAGCATTCGGGAAGCTTGGGTTACATACCCCCCTTGAACCCTAAACCCTAAACCCTAAACCCTAAACCCTAAACCCTAAACCCTAAACCCTAAACCCTAAACCCTAAACCCTAAACCCTAAACCCTAAACCCTAAACCCTAAACCCTAAACCCTAAACCCTAAACCCTAAACCCAAACTCAGCGTTCTTCTGCCTCTTTCTGGCGCAGCCTGCCGCAGGCTGCTGCTCGAGCAGGAGAAGGCCGTGCTCAAGTCGCTGCCCCTGGAGGATTCCTCCCAACACCCTAAACCCTAACCCTAAACCCTAAACCCCCCTCTGCCTTCGCACTCGAAACCCCTGAAGACCCCTAAGCCCCAAAATCCAAAAGTCCCTAAACCCAGAAACTTCCCTGAAAACCCTTCAAATCCAACCCGGAGGGTTTGGGTTCTTGTCTTGGCCCCTTTGGGTCAACCCTGCTAAACCCTTCAACCTTTAGAAGAGTCAGAAGCTATGACTCGGTCAATTTCAGACAAAGGTAGATTCGGGTTTAGGGTTTGGGGCTTAGGGTAAAAGGCCTGAACCCCCAGAAGTTGAATCCCTAAGCTTCAGAAATCTGAGCCCCAGAAACCCTAAGCCGCGAAATCTGAAAGCCCGAGCCCAGAAGTCTGAGCCCTACACCCTAAACCCTTCTGAGCCCTAAAACCCTAAACCCTAAACCCTAAAGCTCCTGAAGGAGCCCACACGGCCGTCCGCGGATTCTGTGAAGGTTCCCTCCTACAAGCTCCTTGGGGGCATTTAGGGTTAGGGTTTAGGGTTTAGGGTTTAGGGTTTAGGGTTTAGGGTTTAGGGTTTAGGGTTTAGGGTTTAGGGTTTAGGGTTTAGGGTTTAGGGTTTAGGTTTTAGGGTTTAGGGTTTAGGGTTTAGGGTTTAGGGTTCAGGGTTGAGGGTTGAGGGTTCAGGGTTCAGGGTTCAGGGTTGAGGGTTTTCGGGTTCAGGGTTCAGGGTTCAGGGTTTAGGGTTTAGGGTTTAGGATTCAGGGTTCAGGAGGGTTGAGGGTTCAGGGTTGAGGGTTTTAGGGTTTTAGGGTTTAGGGTTCAGGGTTCAGGGTTCAGGGTTTATAGCAGGGCTGAGCCCACAAGCCACTGTAATTCGAGTAGCCAGAGCCCGAAGCCCTAGAGGCAACCCGAAACCCCCGAAACCCCTAAACCCCTAAACCCCTACAGAGTGCCATGGCTTAGCTGAGCTTTAGGGTGCAACCCTAAACCCTAAGCCCTAAACCCTAAGCCCTAAGCCCTAAGCCCTAAGCCCTAAACCTTAGCAACCCTAAACCCTAAACGCTGTACATGCTTTTGTTTTGTAAGGCATGGGACATTCCAGGGATCATTCCAAAGTCCCGGCAGGCCTCTTCTCTACTGAAATATGGGATCCTATCTCTTCCATGCCCGGGAGTTTGGGGTTTAGGGTTTAGGGGTCTATGAAATCGGTATTTTGGGTACGTAGTACATTTGGAAGATTATGCCGGGAAAGAGAAAGGAAAACTTTGTAGGATTTCGTTGAGGGCACTGCGGTAGGCAGTAAGATCCCGTCTCTGGGGCCCGAAGTTTCAGTGGCACCCAAGACGGGGGGGGGGGGGGGGGGGTTTAGGGTTTAGGGTTTAGGGTTCAGGGTTCAGGGTTTAGGGTTTAGGGCTTAGGGTTCAGGGTTTAGGGTTAGGGTTTAGGGATTGAGAGAGACCACTGCTTCTTCGAATTTCCCTAAACTGTAGAGAGCAAACACCGAATTCCCGACCCACCCTAAACCATGTAAACCATCTAGCCCCTACACTACTACAAACCCCATAAACCCATGTAACCCTAAACCCTAAACCCTAAACCCTGACCCCTAAACCCTAAACCCTAAACCCTAAACCTTGTGGTGGTTCCCAGGTCGGCGCCATCCTCACCAGTGCCGATGTCGCCGCCGTCCCCGCCAGCCCCAGCCCTTCCCTGCTTGGAGATGCGGCTGGGCTGCGGATTGGGTTTAGGATTTAGGGTTTAGGGTTTAGGGTTTAGGGGTTAGGGGCTAGGGTTTAGGGTTTAGGGTTTGGGGGATCAGGGATTTGGGTTAGGATTCGGGTTGATAAGGGTGGAGGGTTTAGAGGGTTAGAGGGTTTAGAGGGTTTGGAGGGTTTATAGGGTTTACAGGGTTTTGCAGGGTTTTGCAGGGTTTTGCAGGGTTTATGGGGTTTGTAGGGTTTATGGGGGTTTATAGGGGTTTATAGGGGTTTATAGGGTTTATAAGGTTTATAGGGTTTATAGGCTTTATAGGGTTTATAGGGTTTATCGGGGGAGTATTGAGCCCCTGAGGACAAGCTCCAGTAAAGTGGAGGGGGTTGGGGTTGTTGTCGCGCAATAATTCTTTAGGCGTTTTGATCTTCTGCGAAAGCGTTCGTCCACCAAATTGCCGATGGTTCACTGTTGGTTCGTGAAAGCTGTGCCACGGCCACCCAAGCTAAATAACCATGACATTTAAAGCCAAGCCCCCCTGAGGTAGGGGCCGCATGGGACCCCATGGTTACAGCACGTTGGTGGGCCTGGGTACGAGGAGCTGAAGCAGTTCCCAACATCATTCCTCTCCTTGTATGCATCTAACCTCCCCGAAATACCAAGCCCCCATATTTGCTCAGAGGCGCCATAGTGCACGAAAGAGACAAACGCGAAGCGCCGAAGAGCCCGCCCCTAAGCCCGAAACCCTAGACCCGGAGCCCTGAACCCTAAACCCTACCACAGGGGATACACAGTGAAGATGATCGAACGTTCCGCTGACAGCTCCAAGCCCTGCAAACCCTAAACCCTAAACCCTGAACCCTGAACCCCAAACCCTAAACCCTAAGCTCTGCTGTTGCCCCTGGCAGACTTCCCTTTGATCTGCCACCTTCTGCATCCAAGTGGCAGTCCAAGGAGAGGCGGTTTAGGGTTTAGGGTTTGGGGTTTGGGGTTTAGGGTTTGGGGTTTAGGGTTCAGGGCTTCGGGTTTAGGGCTTCGGGTTTGGGGTTTTAGGGTTAGGGTTTAGGGTTTAGGGTTTAGGGTTTAGGGTTTAGGGTTTAGGGTTTAGGGTTTAGGGTTTATAGAAATTGTATAGGGTTTGGGTCCCAATAACGTTTCGTACGAAAGTTTCGTACGAAAGTTTCGTACGAAACGTTTCGTACGAAAGTTTCGTACGAAAGTTTCGATTTTTAAAACTGGTGGTGGAGGGGGGACGGGAGAAGGGGGGAGGGAGGGGGGGGGAAGAGGGAGGGGGGGGGGGGGGGGGAGGGGGGGGGGGGGACGGGGGGGGGGAAGGGGGGGGAAGGGGGGGGGAAGGGGGGGGGGGGGGGGGGTGGCAGGGGGAGGGGGAAGAGGGGGGAAAGGCTCGCCGAATTTCTACACGACGCAGGCAGGGGGCGGAGGGGGGGGGGGGGGGTTTAAGCAAATTGAGGAGTTGGCCTCAGACTTAAACTCGGCTCGTCAGCTGTTTAGACCAATAACTTGAAAATTCAGAATTAGACAAATAACTTGAAAATTCAGAATGATACGACATAGGGGGGGGGAGGTGGGGAGGGAGGGGGGGGGGGGGGAGGGCGAGGTTTGAGTAAATTGAGTATTTGGCCTCAGACTTAACCTCGGTTTGTCAGCTGTTTAGACAAATAACTTGAAAATTCAGAATGATACCACATACAATTTCTATTTATTTTGTCTTGAGGGTTTAGGGTTTAGGGTTTAGGGTTTAGGGTTTAGGGCTTCGGGTTTGGGGTTTAGGGTTTAGGGTTTAGGGCTTCGGGTTTAGGGTTTAGGGCTTAGGGCTTAGGGCTTAGTTTAGGGCACAGGGCTTTGATACGCATAGCACTTCCTCTAGTCGACTTTCTCGGAGAGCAGAAAGAAAAACCCTGGTATCGCATGGTATCGCCCTCATAGCGCAGGTAGACCATAGAAAGCCCCAGAGCCCCAACTCCAAACCCCTCAACCCGAGTTTTAAACCCTCCTTAACCCTAAACCCGAAACCCTAAACCCTAAACCCTAAACCCCAAACCCTAAACCCTAAACCCTAAACCCTGAACCCTGAACCCTAAACCCTAAACCTAAACCGCTGATGTTGGCCTCAGTTGGAGGTAGGTCTCGAAAGAGCCAGCCTCCCCACGCCTGCTTGCTCGAAGTATAGATTCAGGGTTTAGGGTTTAGGGTTTAGGGTTCAGGGTTTAGGGTTCAGGGTTTAGGGCTTAGGGTTGAGGGTGCCAAACGCCCTAAAGCCCCTCAGCCCCGAATCCGACGTCGCCACGAGAAGGAGAGCGAGCCCAGGGCAAGGTCGGAGAAGCCCAGAGCCACGGTCTCCGCGCAGCCGCTCCGCGGAGTTGGATTTTGTTGGTTGTCCTGGAGGGGTTTTGAACCCTAACCCCCCCCCCCCCCAAACAAAAAAAAATCAACAAAGAAAGAAAAATGAATACAAAAGCAAACAAGAAAACATAGGCAAGCCTCATGTAATGCACAAACAAGAACCCTCAGAACCCCACACCTTGGGGGTTTGCCGCGAGAAGAGTTTAAAGGAGCTTGGGTTGTTTTTTTCACTGAACCATTAGTTCAACTTTAAACCCTAAACCCTAAACCCTAAACGCTAAACACCCTAAAGCCTGAACCATGCGACTCAGGGGCCGCTGAAGCGTACTGAGCAGGTGACTGTCAGTTCTGTTTCGAGCCATGGGTCTCTCAGGTCTCTCTTAGGGTTTAGGGTTTAGGGTTTAGGGTTTAGGGTTGAGGGTTGAGGGTTGAGGGTTGAGGGTTGAGGGTTGAGGGTTGAGGGTTGAGGGTTGAGGGATTCTTTCTTTCTTCCTTTCTTTATGTCCTTCTTTCTTTCTGTCCTTCTGTCTTTTCAAAGTCCTGGAGTTAGAGGCTTGGGATGCCGGGTGTCTGGGTGAGGGAGTGCGCTGGTGCTAGGAGCACCCTGGAGCTTGGGGTTTGGATTAGGAGGTTAGGGTTTGGGGTTTAGGGATACTACGGCATCGCAGGTTTTCTCTGTGTGAGTCGGGGCTTAACCCTAAACCCTAAACCCTAGACCCGAACCCTAAACCCCAAACTCTAAACATTAAACCCTAAACCCTGAACCCTAAACCCTAAACCCTAAACCCTAAACCCTAAACCCTAAACCCCAAACCCCAAACCCCAAACCCCAAACCCTAAGCCAGCCGCGTGAGGTCCGGGGATGGATCGGCTCCGATCGCGAAGTCGTCCTTCGGCTCTGCGAACCCGAGCCAAGACCTGAAGCAAAGCTGCAGCTGGGGTTTAGGGTTTAGGGTTTAGGGTTTAGGGTTTAGGGTTTAGGGTTTAGGGTTTAGGGTTTAGGGTTAGGGTTTCGGGTTTAGGGTTGAAGCTGCAGCTAAGTCGGTCTCGGGGTTTCAGGGCGGTTGGGCTGTTTAGGGCGTTTTGGGGGATTTTAGGGCGTTTTGGGGCTTTTAGGGCTTTTAGTGTTTTCAGGCCGCTTGGGGCGTTTTAGGGCTTTGTGGTTTCCTTATTCGGCCTTTAGCCAAGTGGGAGTTTACAGCTGCTTCGATGGGATTGCTCCTTTTCTTTGACACCCAGGTTGCCTGAGGTGGCCACACGGCATGTCGAGATGCCACCCTCGAAATCCCCCCCCCCCCCCCCGCCTCACAAAAAACCACAACCTTCCAAACCCCTCCCCCGCCTTCGCCCCGCCCTCCCCCCTCCCCCCCAACACCCCACCCCCAACGTAGCCGAGGAAAATCACCAAAAAGGGCTCCTTGAGCATGGATGGCGTTGATGCCACCCGGCTCGGATCGCCAGCCTGAGGGCAGCTGCAAGGAGCATTTCAAAGTCCACAGCAGGTTTACAGTTTGTGGTTTGAAGTTTAGGTAGGGTTCCCTGGGCTCTCTCTTTCTCTTTCTCTCTCTCTCTCTCTATCTTTCTCTTTCTCTCTCTGTTGCTTCGTTTTGTCCACTATCTCTCTGATCACAATGATCTCAGCCTTTATCCCAGAAGGTTAGAAAGAAACTGGGATCAGAATCCTAAAGCCCCCAAAGCCCGAAGCCCCGGAACCCTAAACCCTAAACCCCTAAACCCCCTAAGCCCCCTAAACTCCCAAGCCCTAATCCATAAACACCGAAACCCCTAAACCCTAAACCCCTAAACCCCTAAACCATAAACCCCTAAACCCTAACCCCTAAAACCCTAAAACCCTAAACCCCCAAACCCGAAACCTTCAACCGCAAACCCCAAACCCTAAATACTAAACCCCCAAACCCTAAACCCCCAAACCCCAAACCCCAAACCCTAAACCCTAAACCCTAAACCCTAAACCCTAAACCCTAAACCCTAAACCCTAAACCCGGGAGCCCAGGTTCGCTGCAAGGAGTCTTCAAGATCTGGGGAGATGCCAGCCCGCGAGGGAAGCTCCGCACGGCCTCTCAAGTGCAATGTGGGGTGTAGGGGCTCAGGGGTTTAGGGTTTAGGGTTTAGGGTTTAGGGTTTAGGGTTTAGGGTTTAGGGGTTTAGGGGTTTAGGGGCTTGGGGGGGTTTATCGGGGTTTAGGGGCTTAGGGGTTTATCGGTTCAATGTGGGGTTTAGGGGCTTAGGGGGTTTATCGGGGTTTAGGGGCTTAGGGGTTTATCGGTTCAATGTGGGGTTTAGGGGCTTAGGGGGTTTATGGGGGTTTAGGGGCTTAGGGGTTTATCGGTTTAATGTGGGGTTTAGGGGCTTAGGGGGTTTAGGGGCTTAGGGGCTTATGGGGGTTTAGGAGTTTAGTGGGTTTAGGGGGTTTAGGGGCTTAGAGGGGCTTAGAGGGGTTTAGGGAGCGGTTTAGGGGGCTTAGGGGGTTTAGGGGTTAGGGGTTTAGGGGTTTAGGGGTTTAGGGGTTTAGGGGTTTAGGGGTTTAGGGGTTTTGGGGTTTTGGGGTTTTGGGGTTTTGGGGCTTTGGGGTTTTGGGGTTTTGGGGTTTTGGGGTTTAGGGGTTTAGGGGTTTAGGGGTTTTGGGGTTTAGGGGTTTAGGGGTTTAGGGGGCTTAGGAGTTAGGGGTGTTGAGGGTTTCGGGGTTTAGGGGTTTAGGGGTTAGGGATTTAGGGGTTTAGGGGGGTTTAGGGGCTTAGGGGTTTAGGGGTTTAGGGGTAGTGGTTTTGGGGTGTAGGGGTTAGGGTTCAGGATTTATGGTTTGGCGTTCGGGTTTATGTTCGGGGTGTGGTGTTTGGGGCTTGGGTTCTAGGCCGCCTTAGGATTTTGGGGCAACGTCAGGCTGGGCATTCAGGAAGCTTCAGGGGAGGGACTCCTGGCTTTATTGGGTTCTGGTGTTGGACGGTTTAGGGTTTAGGGTTTGGGGTTTTTGGGTTTAGGCTCAGGGTTTGGGGTTTGGGGTTTGGGACAGTCCTCTTCCCGAAGCCCTGACGCCCGTGAGCCTTGCAGAACGAAATAGAACTAGACGCAAGACCCTTATACTGTTTGCAGATGGTAAGTGACGTCGCCACACAAAGTACATGCAAGGGTTCCCTAAACTCCCTAAACCCTGAACCCCAAAAGCCCCGCAGGTCCGAAGGCCCCAAAACATCCCTGCCTCATGAGGCATCGGGTCACTTCGGAGGACGGCGGTGACGAGGAGCTTCAGGGTTTAGGCCCGAAACCCTAAGCCCCAAAGCCCCTAAACCCTTCAAGCCCCAAGCCCCAAGCCCCAAACCCTAAACCCTATTTGGGTCTCCTTGAGTTTGTGTGTTGTGTTTTTGGGCCGGGGAGGCCCTATAACGGGCCCTCGGATGCAGAACGTGAGAGGAGTCGGTCGACCTTCTTCGGCTTAGGCGATTTTTAGGGGGGGGGGGGGGGGGGTTGGGGTTGGCTTAGGATCGTTTAGGGTTTAGGGTTTGGAGTTTCAGGTTTGGAGTTTAGGAGGGTTTAGGGTTTTAGGATCTCAAAGCATCGCGACCACGCAAACCTCCGGCCACCGAGGGTTGAGAGAGGCGTGGGGAGTGTAGGGAAGTTGACGAACCGACCCCCAGAGTAAGGCAGCGCAACTGCATTCCTGCCTATCCCCAACTTATGTTCGAAGCCAGCTTGTCTCTACACATTGCAGCTTGTGCTCAGGGATTCTGGCATATAAACCCTAAGCCCTAAACCCTAAACCCTAAACCCTAAACCCTAGGGGGGGGTGGGGGGGGGGGGGGGGTGACCCCCGACCCCTTAACCCTTAACCCGAAAACTAACCTTGAAGCCGAACCCTGCAAGCCCACAGGATGGCCGCAAGCGCACGCGCTCGCGGAGACCGGGCTGATAGGGGGGGGGGGGGGGGGGGGGTTAGGGTTTAGGGTTTAGGGTTAGGGCTAGGCTAGTTTAGGGTTAGGGTTAGGGTTTAGGGTTTAGGTTTTAGGGGTTTTAGGGTTTTAGGGTTTTAGGGTTTTAGGGTTTTAGGGTTTTAGGGTTTTAGGGTTTTAGGGTTTTAGGGTTTTAGGGTTTTAGGGTTTTAGGGCTTTAGGGCTTTAGGGTTTTAGGGTTTTAGGGTTTTAGGGTTTTAGGGTTTAGGGAGTGTTGACAGGGCCTGTCGTTTTAAGAGACACCTGGTGTGCCCCCCCCTTCAAGATGGAAGCCCCACAGTAAAGTTTAGGATTTGGGGTTTAAGGTTTAGGTTAGGGTTTATGGGGTTTAGGCTATATAGGGTCTAGGGTTTGGGCCCCCCCAGCCCCCCCCCCCCCTCTCTAAACCCCCAAAATGCACAGAGCCACCCTCATAAGCCCTAAGCCCTAAGCCCTCCTAAACCCTTGACCCTACACCCTACTATAGGGGTCGGAAAAATCACGAATAGTATTCCCTTATGGTCCCGTTTACATTTAATTTTAACGCTACGCGACCCGCCTCGGCCCGGCCCAGCGCATGAGCGTGAGCATGGTGATTCCGCAGCGCCCAAGTCGCTGGACCCCAAGCAATAAGGGTTGGGTTTAGGGTTTAGGGTTCCGGGTTTCTGGTTTATGGCTTGGGGTTTAGGGTTGAGGGTTAGTGTAGGATTGAGGGCTTAGGGCTCAAGATTCACGCTTTGGGGTTTAGGGTTTTTTGGGTTTAGGGTTCCGCTTGGAGTGATCGTGGGGTTGAGCCAGGCCCCTCAGGGGGGGGGTAGGGGGGGTGGGGGGGGGAAGGGGGGCAGCGGGAAGAGGGGGGTTTGTTGAAGGTTTGAGGCTTGGGGTTGCCTGTTCTCAACCTATACACCTCCGGCCCGAGGCCTCGGCGGATTGTAGAATAGCCCCTCAACACCTATGCGAATTCTCAAGGCCCCTATACTGTCTAAACCCTAAACCCGAATAAACCCTAAGCACTCAGGAAGTTGAGTATCAACATGTCGCGGCCACTCCAAGTGGAGCCACAGGCGGGAGAGCCAACCTGGTTTAGGGCTTAGGGTTAGCCGAAATGTCGTAGTCAGGTGAGCGACTTTCGTTGGGTTGCTTCTGAGGCTTCGGGGGTCTTTAGAGTGAGCTTTTGAGGGTTTTGGCGGTCGAAATTTCGAGGATTGAAGGGGTGAAACGCTTTAGGGAGTTGGGGGTAAGGATGCGGGGGGGGGGGGGGATTCGAGGGTTTAAGGGTTTGGCGGGCTAAGGGAGCCAAAGCCGAGTCCCTGCGTATTCGGAAAGTCGACTTTTGCACGCAGATGCGTGGAGCCCGCGCGGCCTGTAACAGGGTCAACCAAGGGGCGGCTGGTGCTTCAGCCACTGATTTCTTGGCCCCAGCCCCAAACCATAGCCCCCCGAAATAAAACCCAAGCCCAACACCATCCTGTTGTGTAGTTGGGCTCCTTTGAGAACAGCTTCTTGTGGCTGCTTTCTCGCCTTCGCGTTGCTGGTCAGTTTCTTGCTGGAATGCAGGAGCCGCAGGCAATCCTTCAACCCCGCAACCCTAACCCCTAAACCCCTCAACCTTCAACCCCAAACCCCAAACCCTAACCCCAAACCCTAAATCCTAAACCCTATACCCTAAACCCTAAACCCTAAACCCTAAACCCTAAACCCTAAACCCTAAACCCTAAACCCTAAACCGTAGCGCGTCAGGAGGCCGCTGTCGCGGAACGCTTTTTGGTGCACCCAGGATGGGACCGCTGGGAGGACTTTTGATCTGAAACTTCAGAGGGATGGAGGTTTAGGGTTTAGGGTTTAGGGTTTAGGGTTTAGGGTTGAGGGTTGAGGGTTGAGGGTTGAGGGTTGAGGGTTGAGGGTTGAGGGTTGAGGGTTGAGGGTTGAGGGTTGAGGGTTGAGGGTTGAGGGTTGAGGGTTGAGGGTTGAGAGTTTAGGGTTTAGGGTTTAGGGTTTAGGGTTTAGGGTTTAGGGTCTCTTGGGGGCTTAGTGGTTTTGGGATGTTTGGGGGATTTGGGGTTTTGTGGTTGAGGGTTTTTTTCGGTTTAGGACTTTAGGGCTTTAGGGGTTTAGGGGTTTAAAGGGCTGCTTTTGTTGCCGCTCTGGGGGCTCGAAAGGGTTGGCAACGAAGACTCCGCCGGCGAACCGCCGATCTTTGCTGTGTCTCCGCCCTCCTCCCCAGTCGAGCCTTAGTTCTAGGGCCTAGTAGTAGGGTAGGTAACCTTTAACCCTTTTGGGGTATCATAATCCCCTTATCATCCCAAAGGTGAACCTTTAATTCCCCCCCCCCCCCCAGGGTTACTGGACAACCAGGTAGGGTCCTTAAGGAAGGGCAGGTGTCTAGGGAACCTTCGGGAAGCTTAGGGAGTCGTGGGGAGTATTCGGGAGCCTTGGCGTACATACCCTGAAACCTTCCCGCAAGGACCCCAGAATCGGGTGTAGGCTTGGGGCTGAGGGCTTTTGGAATTTTCTAGTTCTAGTTTGAGGGGTTTGGAGTTTAGAACAGCATAGTCGGGCTGAGTGGCCATGGCATCATGCACACCACGGGGGGGAGAATGGCCGAACTTAGATCTAGCAGCGGTTTAGGTTCAGGGGTTAGGGTTTATAGGAAAACGCCGGGTTCGCAAAGTCAGAGCCCGAGTCTTAAACTGAGGCTCTAAGCCCCGAACCCTCTTAACATCCTGTAGACCCCAAGAACTGAAGCCCTGAAACCCTAAACCCTAAACCCTAAACCCTAAACCCTAAACCCTCAAGAACCCCAAGAACCGGCGCCAGGAGTCGTCTAGCAAATTCAAGTTGAGCCCCCGGCCGGTGTGCCCGGTTCTCGCACCTTGCAGAAGTGGATGTTATGGTTGGTATAGGGTTTAGGGTTTAGGGTTTAGGGTTTAGGGTTTAGGGTTTAGGGTTTAGGGTTTAGGGTTGAGGGACCCCTACCAGCTTCTGCGTGCTTGGGAAGGTGATGTCCAAAGACGGGGCGCGCACCTTCTTTTAGGGCCCGGCGGGATCTCAGCCCGCATGAGGGGGGCTTTAGGGGTTCGGAATGTGTTTTTTTTGTTTTTTTTAGTCAGGGTTTTGGGATTTTCGAGGGGTGTGGGGTTTTGTTTTAGGGTTTTGGGGGGGAAAAATTGGGGTTTGTTCTATGGGCCCCACAGTCGGTTTATACGATTATAACCTGTCGGTCCCGCGATGTAGACCCTAAACCCTGAGCCCTAAGCCCTAAACCCTAAACCCACTTAAACCCTAAACCCTAAACCCTAAACCCTAAACCCTAAACCCTAAACCCTAAACCCTAAACCCTAAACACTAAACCCTAAACCCTAAACCCTAACCCCAAACCCTAAACCCTAAACCCCTAAACCTAAACCCTAAACCCTAAACCCTAAACCCCTAAACCCCCACCCCCCCCCCCCCCCCCCCGAGGTGCCGAAAGTGCAATGGAGCATAACGGCCAGACTTGTTCGAGCCTGGGCGGCCATTGCCGTGGGGCTGATCTTCCGCGACTGCTCCCTTCTCCCTGTTTGGATTAGGGTTTAAGTTTGGGGTTTAGGGTTTAGGGTTTAGGGTTTAGGGTTTAGGGTTTAGGGTTTAGGGTTTAGGGTTTAGGGTTTAGGGTTTAGGGTGGGGTCCCAAACCCCTGACCTCCCACGCAGGCCCCATAAGGGTACCCGGCATTGAGGCGCCCCCTGGCTTGAAGAACCTACTAGATCCCCAACTCCCCTAAAACCCGAAGACCCGAAAACCCTAAAATCCAAAAACCTCAAAACCCCAAAGCCCCAAAACCCCCAAACCCCCAAACCCCAAACCCCAAAATCCCAAAACCCCAAGACCCCAAAACCCTAAAACCTTAAAACCCTAATCCCCGGACCTGAAACTCCCCTCGGGATCCTAGGTTTCAGCATCCCGCTGATGTCCTTCGGCACCGACTTCGCATTCTGGTTTGTGGATGTCTCGGCCGCCATGCTGCTCGCTCCCGTTTTGGGGGTTTGGGGTTTAGGGTTTGGGGGTTTAGGGTTTAGGGTTTAGGGTTTAGGGTTTAGGGTTTAGGGTTTAGGTTGGGTTTTTAAGGTTTCGTAGAGGTGCTGGGCTGAGAAAGTGCACAGTTCAGGGGCTGATTCTCGGCTTCAGGAGGACGAAAGTCTGGGTGTAAAGTTTAGGGGCTATCAGGTTCCAGAGATGATGATGATGATGATGACGACGACTGCATTTCATCATAGCATGTGCATCTCTACCGTATTATTTTGTTTGGATGTTGTTGTTCGTGGGCAGAGGGCAGAGGGCTTCTCTTAGAGTTTACAGGTTTGGGGATCGTAGCTCTTATCTTCCGGGATGTTGACTTGCAGATGCTCCGACTTCCTGAAACTTAAGCCACAAAGGCCCCTGGAGGACGATGCGTTTAGGGCTCAGGGCCTAGGGTTTAGGTTTTAGGGTTTAGGGTTTAGGGCATTCATTTCAAGAATCTACAACCGAAAATGTCCAAGACCCTTGGGGGGGGCGGGGTGGCTAGGAAGCCTACATGAAATCGTGTCTTCCGGAAGACATTGTTTTTTTTTCGACGCCTCCTTCCTGAAACCCGAATTAATTAAGCGCCCCGCGCCCCCCCCCCCCCCCCCCCCTCGACCAGGTTCTGGGTGCTGAACATCCTTGTCTCCATCTTCCTGGCCACCTCGGCTGAATCTTCCGTTGAGGAGAGGGTTTCGGGTTCAGGGTTCAGGGTGCAGCGTTCAGGGTTTAGGGTTTAGGGTTGAGGGCGTTTTAGGGTTTGGGGTTTAGGGTTTAGGGTTAGGGTTTAGGGGAGAGAGAGAGAGAGAGAGAGAGAGAAAGGCTTGAAATCCAGCAGGAACCATGAGCCTGCGTGTCGAAGACCGAAACCCGACACGACAGTTCGGACTGAGCTGAAGAGTTGTGGAGGAGCTGCCTGCGGAGAGCAAGACCAAAGACACACAATTCAATCCCCCTAAACCCTAAACCCTGCAACCCTAAACCCCAAACCCCAAACCCCAAACCCCAAACCCCAAACCCCAAACTCCAAACCCTAAACCCTAAACCCTAAACCCTAAACCCTAAACCCTAAACCCTAAACCCTAAACCCTAAACCCTAAACCCTAAACCCTAAACCCTAAACCCTAAACCCTAAACCCTAAACCCTAACCCTAGCCCTTTAACCCTAAACCCTAAACCCCCCACGCAAACGGCCCCCCCAAAACGCCCCTCGTTGAGGCGATGTATCGAAAGACCATTTGGCACTGGTTCTTGGCGCAAACGTTCCTCGAAGTCATTCTGGCAGCCTGGCCAAGAGTCGATTAGGGCTTAGGGTTTAGGGTTTATGCTTGGGGTTGAGGGTATAGGGTTTAGGGTTTAGGGTCTAGGGTTTAGGGTTTAGGGTTTAGGGTTTAGGGACTTGAGTGTTGTTTGGTTCACACAAGCCTGATAGAAGCTTTTGTTTGGGGCTCTCCAACTGTAAGCCCTCTTAACCCCTCAACCCTACATAGGGCTTCATGGTTTTGGGGTATGTTAGGGTACCCTAAACCCTAAACCCTAAACCCTAAACCCTAAACCCTAAACCCTAAAACCCTGAACCCTGAACCCTAAACCGAATTTTCGGGCTGGGCACAGGAACACCCGCACCGGGAGCTGGGTTCACCTCTGCAACGTTCACTCCCTGACCCCTAAGCCTGAACCATCTTGTAAACTCCAACTCCTCCCCCCCCCCCCCCAAACAGCTTAGGATGTAGGTCCTAGTTCAGGGTTTAGGGTTTAGGGTTTAGGGTTGAGTGAGATTTGTGCGGACTGATTTGCCGCAACAGGCTGGTAGAACAGTAAATGGGAGCCCTTCAATCGTCTGGAGGATGTCTGTCCTGGATCGCATGAGAAGCCGCATGATTGCACCGGCCACCATGGCCTGAATGCTGCGGTTTAGGGTTTAGGGTTTAGGGTTTAGGGTTTAGGGTTTAGGGTTTAGGGTTCAGGGTTCAGGGTTCAGGGTTCAAGGTTCAGGGCGCAACAGCCCCCAAAGAATAGGGTGCATAGTAGGACCTGAGCTGAAGACATGTCACATGCCTCCTCATATAAGTACATCGGTGCGGAAAAAGGCCTCAGATGGAAGATGGAATTTGAGGGGCATGTAGAAGCAGGACTGCACTGCACGCAGACCTTGACAAGCTTGGAGATGTTGTTCTGCAGCGTGTAGCGGGTTATGTAGGTTTCACAACTTCCGAACCCTCGCCACCCTCCTCCCTTGCCCCCCTTCTCCCCCCCCTCCCCCCCCAAATTTTCAGGGAAACCCTAAACCCAAAACCCCCAACGCTAAACCTGTTGTTGGGGCCGCGGAAGCATGAGTTCGATGGACAACCGCGAAGACGATGTCCAACCAGTTTTGGAAGCGCTGTCGGTCCCGCACGAGCTCGATGCCGCCGTGGAGCCCTTGCAGGGCCAAAATGAGAGCGAAGCCTCGTTCTCTGCATCTTAAGAGCCCAGGAGTACCCCTTCTCCTTGTTTTTGTTGGGGTTTATGTTGCCGTATAGGGTGGCCAACCCAGAAAGAAAGTAAATACCCTGCTTCCAGTGCTACCAAGGTATCGAAAGGCCTGTCCGCTGAAGACGAGGTCCCAGAGACCGATCTCGTTGTGCAGATGGCCGAGCAACAGAAGCAACAGATTGCTGGAGCGCTGGCAAGGATGGATGAGTGCAGGCCGGGCATAATTCAAGCTGCCTATGTTGGCGAAGCCCTCTCCTGCTTGTGCAGAGTCGTACGAGGAGGGACCACCACGATGGCTCCCAGAAGTTTCGCCACCAAGCGCATAGATGAGTTTTGGAGTCACAGCTGGCATGGAAGGACATGGTCGAAGGTGTGGACCATCATCTACATGAACAACAACACAGCTGGAATGCTTTTGGCAACAATGGCCTCCCTGGTAGTGTGCTTTCTTTCCTGGTTCAGCCTCGTGCCGCACTGGAGCACTCTCACTGGCTCCGTAGTCTATTGCTCGATGCTGTTGTTCTGGAGGCCAAGGCGCCGCATCTTCTTGGACGTCTTGTGCATAGATCAGGACAACCATGAGATGAAAGAGGCAGCATTGATAAGCCTCTGAGGAGCATTATGGTTGGAGTGCTGTCATGGTTTTATGTGTGCGAACCCCGAACCCAACGCATGAGCAGACGTGACTTTTTTCGAGATGATCTCAACAACCTAAACCCTAGAACCTAAACCCTACACCCTAAACCCTAAACCCTAAACACTACAAGCTCAGGTATGGGAGCGTTTCTGAAGTGCTCGGAGGCCATGGTCGTCTTGTGGGATCCTTCGTACACGCGGCGCCTCTAGTGCGTGCTCCTTGGGCCGATGAGGCGCAACAGACTACAGGAAGTTAGGAATTAGGGTTTAGGGTTTAGGGTTTAGGGTTTAGGGATTCTAGGGCACTGATCCAAGAACTTCCGTGTGTATCTGCCTCCCTCGTGCGCCCAGAGAACTAAGTCGCAGCCTTCAAGTGCCTCTTTGCCTTGGCACCCTTGGAACACGGCATAGGGTTTAGGGTTTAGGGTTTAGGGTTTAGGGTTTAGGGTTTAGGGTTTAGGGTTTAGGGTTTAGGGTTTAGGGTTTAGGGTTTAGGGTTTAGGGTTTAGGGTTTAGGGTTTAGGGTTCAAATAGGGGATGCCAAAATTATGGTTCCCTTTTCTGTATCCCCCCTAAATTACGGCACCGAATATTTCGGGTACAAAAAGTGTCATAATTTTGACCACCACCCAAATGGAAGAGGGTTTATATTCCTGTTCGTGGTGAGAAAGGGTTCCTTTTTTGATATTGGTGAGTGTGTATGTTGGGTGTCCATTTTGGGCGTACAAGAAATACGACTTCCACGTCAAATCGGTCATTGAGGTTTGAGTTGGCAGCATTTCTGCACAGCCGCCCAGCGAACAAGAAAGCCCGAATCATCATCCGGCCAACGGTGCCTTGCACTTGCTTAAATGTGTTTTAGGCTTTAGGCTTTCGGCTTTGGGCTTTAGGCTTTGGCCTTTAGACTTTAGGGTTTAGGGTTTAGGGTGCTTGTCCCAGGTGCTCAAAGGTTGCGAGGTTGGAGGCCTTGGGTGAGGCGTTGAAGATGAGGGGTTTGAAGCCGAAAAGGTCTTTGCAGGAGTTCGGCGTGGTGCCTCCAAGTCCTCATGAGTTGGAAAAGGCTTCACGAGGATAGGCAGCGTTGCTCAGGTTTCATAGGCAGCGTCTGTGATTTGGGAGTCTTCAATAGGCGCCAAGGGACCAGCAACGATATTCATGAGCATTGAGGTCGGTGAGGACGGAAAGCATCATAAACCCGAAGCCCTACCTCAAGAACCCAAAACCTACTGTTTTGCAGGTTATTGCTATAAAGCCCCTGGTAGGCTTCTTAGGCAACCTACAAAACAGTAGGCCTTGGGTTCCTAAAGTAAACCCTACCAAGCCACAAGCAAAAACTGAGGTCATGGGTCCGGTCTTCATTTCGCTGCCGGCGGGCCTGTCATTTGTCATTCTGCTTCTTTCTCTTGCCCAAAGACCCGCAGCAGAGGTGCATGGCAATGAAAATCATGAGTTCGTTTGGCCCTTGATGGGTCTACTGGCTTTTGCTGGCTTCTATGTCTCTGTGGCGGCGTTGCGTGCGTACTTCAGATCTGTGGATGAGTTGCGGACGCAGTTGTCTACATTCACCGTAGCCGACTCGCTGTGCTGGTGCTGCTCAACAGGCCATCTGACCGAAGCTGGAGAACGGCTCATTTGCGATCGCAAGGTCATCTATAGCTGCATCATATCCTGGTTCGGCAGCCTTGAGAGCTTCGAGAAGAAGGTCCGCACGGAAGTCCAGGAAAATCTTCTTGGCCAGCTGTCGAGGCAGGTCTTTACATACAAGCAGTTGGCTGCAGCATCTCTGCCGCTGCTCTGGTCCACGTTCTACGACATTACCACAGAAGGAGCTTTACACAACATCTGGGTAGAAGGCCTAGAGAGCAACTGGCACTGGGCTGGGGATCTCAGGAGGCTTGTCCGAGGAATAGCTTGGGGACTCGGAATTTTGCCCCTGATGTTCTGCTTGGCAGTGAATCTCGCCTGGCTGCTTCGTGGCAGGCGCAAAGCAGGATGCAGAGACATCTTGACCAACTGCTTCATTCTCTTGATCCTGGTGGCGTTGTTTCTGGGATGCTTGTCCTTCGAAACCTGGTGCTGGGGAACTCACTTTGACTTCGTGACCGATGGGAACCACTGGTACAACTTACTTCCAGGATCATGTGTCTTTGCTATCATCATGCTATCGCTCACGGCAGGGACTTTCCTGTGCATCGGTCCAATCGATGCATTCGGCTTTGCACAGCGGAGAGGTCGTGGCAACGTCCCTGAGCCAGCTGACGATCCTGAGTAAAAGGATCCCTGAAAAAGCAAAAAAGTCGCTGAACGCGAGACCCTAAACCTTGCCATAAATCGGGGACGGCAACTTTAAGGATTTGTCCTGAAGGGATTCGCGTTGCTCATTCGCCAGTCTGACTTCAGTTTTCCTTGGACTTGCCAACTCTGGCCAGCTCGTTTATAGGGTTTATAGGGTTTATAAGGTTTATAGGGCTTCACTGGTTGCATTCAAACGTCCGGCGAAGGAAGCCTCAGATACAAGAAAGCACCATGCTCAAATGAAGCTTGTCGTGCCGGAACTTCTTCGGGAACCCCTTCTGTGTCAAAGGGACCCGCGTTGAAACCCATCCTCCTCAAACTCGACCCCCCAAGCCCTTGGCTCTGTGAATCTGTGAAGGTTGTCACAAGTAGAAGTCAGACATGCCAGCCGAGGTAACGCCAACTTTCATCGACCTGATCAACCCAGGATCTTCCACGATGCAGGCTCGGGGCCCTTAAGGGCCCTATCGGTTTTTTGCTGGTTTTGTCTAAGGTTGGAACCGTGGGCCCTTAGAATGGTCTCACAAGGTCTGGGGACATATCACATACAGCATATATAGGGGTTATCTGGGTTATGTAGCAGCAAGGGCCCACGCTTAGAAAACACCAGATGTTGAGAGGCGCCCCCCCCCCCCCTTTAGTCAGGGCCACGGCCTCTCTTTAGACTAAACCCTGAAACCCCGGGTTTAGGGTTTAGGGTTTAGGTTCCCCCCCCCCCCCCCGACCAAAAAAAGACCCGTGACAGGCCTTTCTTCGAGCTCTGCAGCTCCTAAGGGTCTTGCAGATTCCTGCCTGGTACCGCATCACGGGCTTCGAAAGCGGCGTGAGAGATCCTCGGCAGAGGGTTAGGGTTTGGAGTTTAGGGTTCAGGGTGTAGGGTTTAGGGTTTGATGAAAACGGTTTAGGGTTCGTCAGCTAGTTGGCGCACAGAGCACGAATAGGAAAAGGATCTTCTGATTTGGTGGTCTCTGGGGCGTTAGCCCAGGATGCGCCCAGATGTCTCTCCGTTTCTCTTTTCCAATTGTTTCCAGCTCTCTCTCAGCTCAAAGACCCCTCTAAAACCCTTCAAGGCCCTCTAAAACCCGACAAAACCCGAAACAACCCTCCAAAACTCTCGCAAACCTTTTAACACCCTGTTTAATAAAACCGTCTTAAACCCTGTCAAATTCTCTGAAACCCTCTCAAACCCTCTAAAACCCTGTAAAAACTTCTGGAACCCTCTTAAACACTCTTAAACCTTTCAAAAACCCTCTTACACCCTTTAAAACCCTCTAAAAGCTTCTTAAACCTCTAAAGCGCTGTAACCCACCCTCTAAAACCGTTTAGAAAAGCCCAAATTTGCTGCAAACTGCACTTCTCTGGTGTTTGAAATCCCGTCCTCGTGCCGGAACTAAAGGATTCACATAACCCGATTCAAGAAAATCTTCAAAACAAAAGTTCAGCCAGCTGGCGCATCTCGGTGGCACCCTGCAGGCAATTCAAAACGAGCGCAGCCTCTATGATTAAGGGTTTAGGGTTTGGAGGGGTCTTAAGGTTTTAGGGGTTTAGGGTTTTAGCCCAAAACCCTAACAACCCTTAAACCCCGGCCCTAAACCCTAAACCCTGAACCCCTAAACCCTAACCATAAACCCAAAACCCTTGTGGATTTTCTCGCTGTCGTAGGCCCTTGTATATATAGCTGAGGCCGATCTTTTTACTGTTACCAGACCACCCCTGTATCACCGCAGGGCCAGCAGCAGGACGCGGCGGCGATTCCGAAAACCGTAAACCCCAAACCCTAAACCCTAAACCCTAAACCCTAAACCCTAAACCCTAAACCCTACACCCTACACCCTAAACCCTAAACCCTAAACCCTAAACCCCCGCCTCCCCCCCCCTCCCCCAACCCAAAAACAAGCAAGAAGAAACGAAGCCAAATCACAGGAGTGGCTGCGACATCGGAGTCGGGAATTCCGGGCCTTCTGGAACGTCATGTGCCTCTGTGTCCTGGGCTGCCTCTTTCTGCAGCTCAGCTCGAAGAGGGGTTTAGGGTTTGGGGTTTAAGGTGTAGGGTTTAGGGTTTAGGGTTTAGGGTCTAGGGCCTGGGGTTTAGGGGTTGAGGTTTTTTTCAGGGCGGATTTAGAGTTTAGGGGTTTAGGTGTTTAGGATAGCTCAGCTTCGGTGTTACAGAGGCTTCGGGTTTGGGCCTGACAAAGGGTTGGGTGGGGTGGCTGGGTGGCGCGGGGGGGTGGGGGGGGTTTCCTTTCTCACAGTACGGAGCCATGTTTACCCCGAAATCCGTCGCCCTAAGCCCGCACATGAACCTGTAGGGTCCGGGATTAGGGCGGCCAACTCCATGAAAGCGTCGAGTCTCAACAAAAAGATCGCGATCGAAGCAGCCCCTTCGAAAAACGCTCCCCCCACACGCATACATACAAATAAAGAGCACGGAGGAAGAGGAAGAAGAAGAAGATGATTAGCCCCCCCCCCAAATCTTGCATCTTCTCATATGGCTGCGCTCATAAACCCCTCAGCCCTAAGCCCCTTGAGCATGTAACCTCGCAGTGAAAGGGCGCATCTATCTTCGGCATCCTTCGACCAAGGCTCCCTCAAGCCCTTTGAGGGTTCAGGGTTCGGGGTCGAGGGTTTAGGGTTTCGATTTTCGGGGTTTAGGGTTTAGGGTTTAGGGTTTAGGGTTTAGGGTTTAGGGTTTAGGGTTTAGGGTTTAGGGTTTAGGGTTTAGGGTTTAGGGTTTCCGACTTGGGGTCCCTAAACCCTGAACCCTGAACTCTCTTCCCTTGGGCGAACAGAAGGTGCTTCTTTCTCCTGGCACTGCTTGACCTCAACTATACTCCTAATATGCCCCTGATACTCCCTTAGGGAACCTTACACAGGGACCCCAAAACCCTAAACCCTTAACCCTAAACCCTAAACCCTAAACCCTACTCCCTAAACCCTAAACCCTAAACCCTAACTCCAGGCACTGCCTGACCTGCGTGTGGTTCGCGGCCGGGCACCGGACAAGCCGAGGCCACGGGCCTTAGGCGTTTAGGGTTTAGGGTTTAGGGTTTAGGGTTTAGGGTTTAGGGTTTAGGGTTTAGGGCCTTAGGCGTTCAGGGGGGCCCCGCAACACTTTGCAGTTTTGGGGGGGGGCGGGGGGGTTGAGGGCGTTTAGGGTTTCGGGTTTCGGTTTGGGTTTAGCTTCCGCATCCCGAGGGATTCATCATAAAGGATACGACAATCCCTATTGAGGACTGTTAGTACAAGCGGGAACATCCCAAGTTATCGGCTTAAGGAGGGTCCAGGGTTACCCAATAAAATGCACTGTGGGACTTCGCTGGTCTCTCTTTCCTGCTTTGAGCTTGCTACTTGTTCTTGCTTTGCCCTAAACCCTAAACCCTAAACCCTAAACCCTAAACCCTAAACCCTAAATCGGGGGCTGTGGATGATAGCTTGTTCTTGGCTTGTGCGCGCTCTTCTGCATTCAGGAGTTGCTCCAGGGACATAGCGCTTGGGGCTCTCTTAAACAGAAGATGCTAAGCCCTAAGCCCTAAGCCCTAAACCCTAAACCCTAAACCCCCCCCAAACCCCGAAACCCCGAAGCCCAAACCCCAACTATCCAAGGGCCCCCCAGGAACTCTGCATGCCCAGAGCCCACATGTACCCGACATCCCGCTTGGGTGGACACTGTGAGGGGGGGGGGGGGGGGGGGGGGGGGGGGGGGGGGGGGGGGGGGGGGGGTTTAGGGTTTAGGGTTTAGGGTTCAGGGTTTAGGGTTTAGGGTTTAGGGTTTAGGGTTTAGGGTTTAGGGTTTATAAGGGTTCAAGGGGTTATGGGTTGAAGGGTTGAAGGGTTTAAGGCTTTGAGGGTTTAAGGCTTTGAGGGGGGGGGGGGGGGGGGAGGGGCGGGCAATTTAACCCCCGGAAGAGGCGAAATAAATGCTGGAGGTTTAGGGTCTCAGGCTTAGAGTTTAGGGCACGTTCCCTGGTGTTGTGTCAATGTAACGGCTCCATGGCTTCAATTGGTTGGCAAAATCATTCTCCCAGGGACCTTCAAGAAAACCCCCAGCCTTAAACCCTACACCAGCTTCGCAGTAAGTAAACCCTCACCCTTCAGCCTTACATGTTCATTGAGGGCCGTGAGTATAAGTGGGAACATCCCAGCCGAAAACCCTAAAGATTGTAACCCTAAACCCCAAACCCTAAACCCTAAACCCCCCTTGAGAACCCCTAAAGCTTCAACTCCGAAGCCCGCGCAGAGGCTGGGTATACGCCCATGGCATCGATGACGCCAGCTCCCGGACTTGAAAAGACAACAGCGAGCTTCGGGCCCAAGCCCTTTTTTGAGGGTTTAGGGTTTAGGGTCTAGGGTCTAGGGTTGAGGATTTAGGGTTTTGGGTTTAGGGTTTAGGGTTGTCATAGGGGGGTTACATGGGTTGCGTAGGGTTTTGCTTGAGGTTAGCATTGAGGTTTATGAAGGGCTGTTGGGTTTCGAGGCTGAATTTGTTTGTAGGTGTGCTTTTGTTCGATTCTGTCTTTTGAGTGCTGTTGGAGGGTTGTCTGTTAGGGCTAGTTTTGAGGCTTTGTAGGGGTGTAGGGTTGTTTCGGAGCTTTAGGGCGTTTTGGAGGGCTAGTGATTTTGGGGTGTTTTGGTGTTGTTTAGGGTCTTGAGGGTCTTGGGTTTTTGGGTGTTGGGTTGGGGTTTGGGATTTAGGATTCAGGCGGTTTAGGGGGTTCGGGTTCATTTGTTTCCGTGGGTTTCCCGAGATATGACGGCCAAGGCATTGTAGGGTGGGGGGGGGGGGGGGGGGGTTAGGGGTTTGGGGCTTTAGGAGTTTAGGGGTTTAGGATTTCGGGTTTAGGGTTTAGGGGGTGCACAAGCTTACATGTTTCCACAAGCCTGCAACAAGCTGGCGTTTGCACACACACACACAGTTGAAGCCCCAGTGTTTGCAAGTCATCCTGCCATTCCGTACACGTTCGACAAACAGAACCCGAAATAAACCCTAAGCCCTAGACCCTAAACCCCAGACGCTAAACCCTAAACCCTAAACCCGAAGCCTCCATTTCCCTCCGGAGAGCTTTTGATGCTAAACCTTGCTGGGTGGTCGTTTAGCCGCTAGGAAAGCATCGCCCCGAGACCTCCTCCGAACCATGGACCCTAAACCCTAACTAAACCCTAAACCCTACACCTGCAGCCTCAAACCCTAAACCCTAAACCCTAAACCTTAAACCCTAAACCCCTAAACCCTCAACCCTGAACCCTTCCCCGGCCTCGGTCATGATGTTCGTGTTCTTTCTGCCGAAACGGATATGCGCATTCCACGCGGCAAAGCCCGCTCATCACAGCAGCCCGCGCAAAAGTGGCGGTGCTGGAGGGGGGCGAGCATGTATATTTACATACACAGGGTTTAGGGTTTAGGGTTTAGGTTTTGGGGTTTAGGGTTTAGGGTTGGGTTTAGGGTTTTGACATACATAGCGATTCCTGCAATAGCTTCAGGTACCAAACAGACCCCTTTGTAGCCACGAGCGGAGACCCACAGACCCTAAACCCGAATCCTTCGGATTTCCCCACCAACCCATTGGCTTCCTGTTCCGGGGGGATGTTTGGGGTTTAGGCTGTAGAGGTGTTTAAGGTTTAGGGGTTTAGGGTATGGGTTTAGGGGGTTTAGGGGGTTTTTCGGGGGTTTTGGGGGGTGGTTTAGGGGGGTTTAGGGGGGTTTAGGGGGTTTTAGGGGGTTTTAGGGGGTTTAGGGTTTAGGGGTTTGGGGTTTAGCGTTCATGGTTTAGGGTTTAGGGTTTAGGGAAGTGTGGGGTTTAAGTTGTATAGGGCTTAGGGTGTTTCGGGTGCAGGATTTCGGCTGCATCCCAAGAACACCGGCCCCTTTATCATTGATCAGACTCTCACGTTTTGAACCCAAAGCCCCTAAAACCCTCAATCCTAACACCTCACAAAAGCCTCTTGCGAGTAAACCCTGAACCCTGAACCTTAAACCCTAAACCTCCAACCTCCAGCCTCAAACCCTAAACCCTAAACCCTACATCCCAGGCTGGACAACACAGTACCAGCACAGCCTGGAGTGGGCCATGGCTAGACTTCCCCCCTCGCGGATGACCGAGCACCTTGAAAGAACTACCTAGGGTTTAGGGTTTAGGGTTTATAGAAATTGTATAGGATTTGGGCCCCAATAAGTTTTGAGCGAAAGTTTTGAGCGAAACGTTTTGAGCGAAACGTTTTGAGCGAAACGGTTTGAGCGAAAGTTTTGAGCGAACGTTTGTTTTAGATATTAGGTTTTAGGGTCGGCGTGGGGGGGGGGTGGACAAGGGGGTGGGTGGAGGGTGGTGCGGCGGTTGGATGGTATCATTCAATTCTATTTGTTTTGTCTTGAGGGTTTAGGGTTTAGGGTTTAGGGTTTAGGGTTTGGGGAGAACAGGGGTCCAGGTGGGATGTTCCCCCTTATAGCAGTAGGGACTCTAGTACCCCCAATTGTACTCCCGATTAGGTGCTGTTTGTACAAGGGGGAACATCCGCAGGGTCAGGGGTTAAGGGTGTGGAGTCAAGGGGCGTCCTAAACCCTAAACCCTAAACCCTAAACCCTAAACCCTGAACCCTAAATGTAGGGTTTAGAGGGCCTAGGGTTGAAAGGGTTGAAGGGGTTGAGGGTTTGGGGTCTAGGATTTAGGGTGCAAAGTTCATCCCCACTGCACGGGTCCTCACAAACCTCCCCCCCAAAGCGGCAACCGCAAGAATTTGGGGTTTAGGGCAAACTTAGGGTTTATAGGGTATTTAGGGTTTAGGGTTTAGGGTTTAGGGTTTAGGTTGGGGGGAGATAGGGAGCGCCCAGGAACATGCAGCTCGAAACTTCAGTGGAAAAGTTGGTCTCTCTGTGCCTTGGACTTCAGGCACGTGATCTTCGACGACCCGCCCCCCTCCCCCCGAGAAAGAGCAAACCGACCGATAGGGTTGGGCCTCGAAGCACTTCAGACCCCCCATTTTTCTTCAATGTTCCTAAGCCTTAAACCCTAAACCCTAAACCCACTTTTTGCTTTCATGTTTGGAAGAGATGCATGTTTCCCGACAGCGCCATGTCGCGGTATGATGACCATTGGAGACGCAAGTCAAGCGAGCATCAGCGGGTGGACCTGTTGACGGCATAGCCGTAAAGTAAACCCTAAATCCTAACCCCTAAATCCCAAACCCTAATCCCCAACACTCCAACCCCAAATCCCAAACCCCTGGCTCAACCCTGAACCCGGAACCCTGAACCCCCCACACCCCAACACCCCAACACCCAAACGCTCCAAACCCTAAACCCTAATCAGGCCAAAAGCCTGAAGCCTGAAGCTTGAAGCCTGAAGCCTGAAGCCTGAAGCCTAAAGCCAAAAGCCAACCCCCCCCCCCCCCCCCCCAAAAAAAAAAAAAAAAAAAGAAAGGAATGATCATCTACAGCTTCTGCAAATGAGGATGGGGACCGGGCTGATGATGCTCTTCGGCTCTATCTTCACTTCGATGGTCACCAACGCCACTTGTGCTTATTCAAAACGCCAAAAAAAGGGGGGGGAGGTTGGGGTTTAGGGTTTCGGGTTTGGGGTTTAGGGTTTAGGGGTTTAGTGGTTCGGGGTTCGGGTTTACATAGGGTGTACCATCTCCCGCCGGGGCTTAAGGCTTCAGGGTTTGCCCAAAGCCCTAAGCCCTAAACCCTAAACCCTAAACCCTAAACCCTAAACCCTAAACCCTAAACCCTAAACCCACATAACCTTGACCTGCTCTGCTAGAGAGTTTAGGGCTCCGGGGTTCTGTTAAGTCAAGGGGTGAAGACTCGTAGCCCTAAGGTTGTACCCCTAAAGGTTCCCCTCAATGTACTCCAATATGGGCCTTATATTTACTGAGGGATCCTATTAAAAGGGGCCCCGAAACCCAAGGGTACCACCTTAAGGGTCCAAGGTAGAAGCCCTAGATTAAGGGAATTTCAGGGCGCGGGGCCGTGGTGCGGGGTTTCAGGAGTTTTCGTGTTTTCGGCTTTGGTCCTTGCATGCAAATATATGGCTCCCACTCGATTCGTCACTGCTTTGAAAGCTTCGATTCCAAGTTGGGATGTTCCCCCCTTTACTGACAGTCCTTCACAGGGATTATAGTACCCTCAACTATAGTCCTCGATTAAGGACTGGAAGTATAATGGGGAACATCCGAAAGCTTCGGTTTCAAGGCTGGAGATGTCGGGTTCGTTGTGCTCATGGTGTGCTTTCTTGCTGCGTACGCTGGGGAGGGGATTTCGTGAGCCGGTGACCCAAGGACATCTCGGACATTCGGCGTGTGAGGAGGCAGCAGAAGGAGGCGGAGTACCAGGCCGGCAGCACTGCAACACGAACCTAAGAATCGTACCCGAACCCCCCCCCCCCATGTACCCTAAACTTTTAAACCGTTCTGGGCCTTGGTGGGCAATGCATACCCTAAACCCTCAATTCTAAACCTAAATGAGGGCCTTGTGGGGTTTTCGTTCCGAGCCCGAGCCCTTAGTGAGCAGAGTTGTTGGAGATCCTGTCCGTTTACGCCTTGCTTGGCGCGTAGAAGTGCCAGCTGGAAAATGTCAACGATCGGCATTAAGAAGGATAGTCATGGCAACTACGACTATCTGCTTTGGAACCCCCCTCCCCCAAACACAACACCTTCCTTATAGGGGCAAAATAGGGACTACTATTTTGTGTGGGTTCTTGAGCAAACAGTAGACTAGGTTTCTAAGCAAGAGAGTTCCTTGAAGCCCCTGCGAGGTGTCAGACTACTTGATGATGTATCCTGTGTCCTCGGAGTTGCAAGTGCAGCTCAGGGAGTACCTGCCGCTCGGACATCCCTCAACCCTCCTAAACCCCAAGCCCGACACCCTAAACCCTAAACCCTAAACCCTAAACCCTAAACCCTAAACCCTAAACCCTGCGCCCTCGAAACTTCCGTGCGAACGGTCTCTTCTCCGGATGTTGCGCCGGGGTTCCCCCTTTGAAAACTTTGGGACCCCTAAACCCTAAACCCCAAATCCCTAAACCCCAAAAACTTCCAAAAACCCAAACCCTCAACCTGAAACCCTTAAAAACCCAAACTCCGAAGCTCTAACGACGCGAAAGACCATATGAAACCCTAAACCCTAAACCCTAAACCCTAAACCCTAAACCCTAAACCCTAAACCCTAAACCCTAAACCCTAAACCTCAGACCGTTTTGAGCTCCAAGGCAGCGAAACAAGTCGAAGATCCAGCAGCCCTCGAAGCAAGAGATGAGCGGCCAAGCTGCACCATCTTCATCCTTTTTTGGGTGGGTTTAGGGTTTAGGGTTTAGAGTTTAGGGTTTAGGGTTTAGGGTTTAGGGTTTAGGGTTTCGGGTTTCGGGTTTCGGGTTTAGGGCTTAGGGTTTAGGGTTAATTTAGGGTTTAGGGCTTAGGGTTTGCGCTGCCACTTTCTTCACAGTCCTTACAGGGTTTAGGGCTTATTGGCTTTGGGAGTTTCACCCGTAGCGGCCGTAAACTCCAATATGGGGGGCCACTCTCTTCCGGCGAAGGGGTTTTTGGGGGGGGGGGGGGGGGTAACCCTAAAATTGTATAAACCCTAAATCCTAAAACCTTTTTCTGTTAAAGCACAGTGAATTCCTGCAAGGGCTCGCTTGCTGAGGGCTTGCAGCCAGAGGGCGCTGTTTGTATAAACCTTCGGGATGTGCGGGGTTTAGGGTTCGGGTTTCGGGCCCTAAGCCTCTAAAACCCCCGAAGCTCAATTAAAACAGACCTTCACCACAGCTGAAAAACCTGCCAGCCGTAAAAACCCAAAACCCTACAATCTCTTCAGCTTTGTCTAAAGCCCAACAACACTTGGCTGCTTCCAAGGAAACGTCCTGCCTCAGTTCCTGTATCGCGAGCTGTGCCGGGAAGCTCTCGGACCTGTCTTCGCAGAGCACCGGTTCCTCGACACCCTCCTCAAGAAGCCGCTTGGACCCTTTCGTCCGGCTCATGGGGTTTCTATTTTTCTAAGTGGGTTTTCAGTGTTTTTCTTTCAGGCAAAAACAGGGGCTCGAAAGAGGCCGTAACAAAAGCGATGTTTGTGCCGGCTTGGGGGTTTAACTGGGGCTGAGAGGCTCCGTTAGGGTTCTCGGCTTTCTTGTACCCTAAACCCTAAACCCTAAACCCTAAACCCTAAACCCTAAACCCTAAACCCTAAACCCTAAACCCTAAACCCTAAACCCTGCGTGCTGCGTTCTCTCTCGCGACGCGCAGGCACGCCGGCTTGCAGTACGAGCTCTGCGCCAACGGCCTCGAAGAGGTGCGCGTGGTTCCAGAGGAGACGGGAGCTTTCATAGGGGTTTACGGTTCAGGGTTTAGGGTTTCACCCTAAACCCTAAACCCTAAACCCTAAACCCTAAACCCTAAGCCCTAAACCCTAAACCCTAAACCCAGGAGACTTTGTTCTCACCGGGCCCTCACTGTGAGAACATGCTCTTCGTGGTTGGCGGCAAGGTTGCGCAGCCGGGTCGCGATCATATTGGGCAAGATGCTTAGGGTTTAGGGTTTAGGGTTTAGGGTTTAGGGCACCCTAAGTACCATCAACTCCAAACCAACACCCAACACCCTGAACCGACCCTCTAACAAGGGCTGCTTGATTGTTTGTCATTTGGGTGTTTCCGAAAATAGGGACACCCTATTGGGGCCACTAATTGGGGGTGTAGATTGGGGGTCCCCCACTTTCGTAAAACCTAAACCTCAAACCCTATACCCTAAACCCCAAACCCTAAACCCCAAACCCTAAACTCTAAAAACTAAACCCTAAGCCCTAAACCCTAAACCTAAACCCCATTTCTTCTCTGAGTCTGTAGCTGATCTGGCTCCGAAGCACAGAAGTGCGAAGTGGCACGTAGAGGGCTCGACCTTCCCCTGCTTCACGAAGCTGAGGGTTCAGGGTTTAGGGTCTAGGGTTTAGGGTTTAGGGTTTAATTTGCCTACGCTCCTCTCCATAAGGGGGGTGGTATCCCCTGTGAGAAAAGCCCCACGGTCAATGGTCAGGAAACCCTAACCCTAAACCCTAACCCTAAACTCAGGGCCTAGGCCGCCCCCCTACGTTGGAGGGCGGCGCTTAAGCCCTTTGACCTGGATGGCACAAGCCGACCCAGGTCGCTCGCCCGCCTCCCACAGCATGCGCCCACGATGGACCCCGTACCGGAACACGTTCTGGTCCCTTCAGGGAGGGTACCCCCAAGGCCCCAGCCTGGGGCGTTCCGGACCCCTCACCGCAGCGTGCCCAAGGATCAGGGGTTTGAAGGCAAAAACGGGTTCTCAAAAATCAGTTCCCGAACCGCCTGGGCCCCCAAGCCTCCTTGGCCCCTTCTGGCCCCACCTGGATTGAACCCTGGCCCTGGGCCTCTGAGTTGCCTGGCCCGAGCCCGCCCTTCGACACCTTGCTGACGTCATGAAACTAAATAAGTTTTTAGAAGTGGACTATTTGCTGAGTTTAGGCCTAAACCCGAAAAGGAATAGGTTTGGGTGGCTTGGCCGCCTTGGATGGCGTGGGGTGGGAGAAAAGTGTTAGATGGCCCTCCACAATCGGGCCAAAGCTGCTCTTCGCACCTCACGAAGCTTTCGAGCTTGTTCCGAAACCTAACCTTCACATCATCTACGCCCTATCACAGCAAACCCTCAACCCTAAACCCTCAACCCTGAACCCTAAACCCTAAACCCTAAACCCTAAACCCTAAACCCTAAACCCTAAACCCTAAACCCTAAACCCTAAACCCTGCGGACCAGCTCAGGTACCGCCGGCTCGCCGAAGGCTGCGGAAGCGGTACGCGCGAAAACTTGCCTGGCGGCGGTCGAATGAAGGTGCATACTTCTGCTTGGCCACGTTACATCTTGGGGTGTAGGTGTTTAGGTGTTTAGGTGTTTAGGTGTTTAGGTGTTTAGGTGTTTAGGGTTTAGGGTTTAGGGTTTAGGGTTTAGGGTTTAGGGTTTAGGGTTTAGGGTTTAGGGTTTAGGGTTTAGGGTTTAGGGTTTAGGGTTTAGGGTTTAGGGTGTAGGGTGTAGGGTGTAGGGTGTAGGGTGTAGGCCCCCTGATACTATGACAGCCCTTAATGGGGTTTATAATAGGGGGTACGATTGTCCAAATTAAGAACTGCTACATCTATCAACTCTCTCCTTTTATCGTAAGTTTACTGCTCCTCTCGGGCTTGGAGGGTTTTACGTTTAAACCTCAGACCCTAAACCCTAAACCCTAAAGCCTCAACCCTAAACCCTAAACCCTAAACCCTAAACCCTAAACCCCAAACCCCAAACCCTAAACCCTAAACCCTCTCAACATTGGGGGGAGGAGGGGGGAGGGGGGAGGGGGGGCTTTGGGTTGCGCTAAGGGTTCTCAGGGGGGGGGAAGGAGTCAGGAGTTGATGGTTCTCCTGGACAGGGTTGAGGGTTTAGGGTTTAGGGTTTAGGGTTTAGGGTTTAGGGTTTAGGGTTTAGGGTTTAGGGTTTAGGGTTTAGCATGTCTTTAGAGTGGTGGTTCTAAGGTTTAAACGCGCTGTGAAGGAGCTTTAACTAGCAACGGTTACCAGAATCTGTGCAGCAAGTCTGTGTAGCAAACGTTTTGGTACCCTTTCTATTCTTGAGGCTTTTGGGGTCTCAGGGTTTGATTTTGGGCTGAGGTTTTGGAGGGTTCTGGGGTTCAGCTATCAGGGGTTTAAACCCTAAACCTTAAACCCTAAACCCTAAACCCTTAACCCTAAACCTTTAGGGAACTTTTCCAGGGTGAAGGGCTGGTGATGCTTTCTCCGGAGGCCCCTGAACGCCGGACATGCCGCGATATGCCGTGGTTTGGGGGGTGAGGGGGGGTGGGTTTAGGGTTTAGGGTTTAGGGTTTAGGGTTTAGGGTTTAGGGTTTAGGGTTTAGGGTTTAGAGTTTAGGGTTTAGGGTTTAGGGTTTAGGTTTTAGGGTTTAGGGTTTTGGGTTTGGGGTTTAGGGGGGGGGGGGGGGGAAGGTCGAGGCTCCTGAGAAAGCTGAACTCCTCATTGACTTCCCTAGAACCACAATTCCTGCCAGCGATACCCCCTCGTCACAAAGAACTTCCTCGGAAGCGCAAACCAACGCCGTAGGCCTCAGAACTACACCCCCTAAACCCCTAAACTCCTAAAGCCCCAAACCCCTAGCCCCCCGAAAACCCTTAAACTCCAATGCTCTGCCAGGCGGTCGTGCCTATGGGCCCGCTCCCTCAAGCGCTTGCTCCTGGGATGAAGTGACTGGAACAGGGAGTGGGGCACGGGGGGGGGGGGGGCAGGGTACAAATCGAGGACCTCGCCTTCAAACCTAGACCATCTCTCCCTAAAAACCCGAGATCCTAGAAACCCTGAACCCTAAAACCCTTGACCTGTGAAAGCTTGTTGGGAACGTTTGTTTTCGTGTTTGTTTGTTTTTTTTTGGGTGGGACGGATTCGCAGGCCTCGGGGTGCTGGTGAGACCCGGGTTTCAAGGGCTGCAGAGAAGCCCAAACAAGGCTCTGCAGGGGATCAGGGTTTTGGGTTTAGGGTTTAGGGTTTAGGGTTTAGCGTTTAGGGTTTAGGGTTCAGGGTTACATCCTAAGATTTTGGGAAAAAGGGTGCCAGAGATTGTCCGGACCATTTTATGAGAGCCGGGGTTCTGCCCATCCCATCCCGAAGCCCTACAAAACCCTGTGTCGACCGCAAGGGCGTAGGGTTTACAGGGCATGTAGAAGTTAAGGTTCTCTCGGGTTTCTAAACCCCTAAACCCCCAAACCCTAAACCTTAACCCCTAAACCCTACACTCTATACCCTATACCCTATACTATACCCTATACCCTATAAACCCTAAAACCCGGCAAACGTCCTCCACAAGCACCTCTTAAGGAGCTCACATCCGGAGACTGGATGTGCGAGCCATGCCTGTGGACCTCCTGGGAGTACGTCGGCAAGGCGATCACCCGCTTAAGCGAGGGGTTCCATCTGTGGGTGGGTGTAGGGTTTAGGGTTTAGGGTTTGGGGTTTAGGGTTTAGGGTTTAGGGTTTAGGGTTTAGGGTTTAGGGTTTAGGGTTTAGGGTTTAGGGTTTAGGGTCTAGGGTTTAGGGTTTAGGGTTTAGGGTTCAGGGTTCGGGAGGTGCTGGGGAGTGTTGAGGGGAGGGTTCTGGGCTGCGGGGCTTGCGTCCGGATACCCCTCTTGAGCCCTTGGCGCACCAAAGAACTCGGTTTGGTCAACAAAATCTCAGCCCGAAACCCTGACAAAGGTGGGGGGGGGGGGGGGGCAGGTTTCAAGGGCGTTTTGTATTGGGAGGGAGAAGGATTTAGGTTTCGGGTTTCAAATTTGGGTTTTGAGTTTCATCCATGCTTTGGTGTGGGGAGTGCCCATCATTCAGCCGAATCCCCCCCCGCGGGGCAGGCGGGGGCGGGCGCGGAAACCCTAAACCCTAAACCCTAAACCCTAAACCCTAAACCCTAAACCCTAAACCCTAAACCCTTGAGTCCCCCTTCTCTCTGAGGCCCGGTGCAGTTTTGCTAGTAGAGCCCTGGCTTACGGGTTTTTGCGAACGTGGGTGGGAAGATCCGACGCCTTCTGCTTTGCTAATCCTAAACCCTAAACCCTAAACCCTCTCAAGCAGCAGTGGGGATGGCCCTGCTGTGAAGGTAGACTCCTAAGGATCAGCGCTTTCGCAAAGCAAGCCCCCCCTTTTTCAAGCAGCCCTCAGCTCTCTTGACCCAAGACCCCCATGTTTGTTCGCTTCCTGGCAGCATGTACTGGTATAATATGTATCATAACTGTATGTTATGTCATGTCATAGTACATGTCATTACATATCAGGTTTTTTTCTATCCATTGTTTGTTTGTTACATGTTATGGATGATGTACTGTAGAGTCGTCCCACATCGGAGGCAGTGGCCGGTTCTGACACTCTCCTGGTGGCTCGCTTCGCCTCAGCTGTGCCGTTTTCTTGATGGGGTCTAGGGTTTAGGGTTTGGGGTTTGGGGTTTAGTTTTCCGGGTTTAGGGTTTAGAGTTTAGGGTTTAGGGTTCAGGGTTTAGGGTTTCAGGTTTGCGTTGAGCCCAGGCCCGTGAGCCCCAGTAAAAGTGTTCACTGAGAGGCCACTGGAACCCTCAGCCCGCAACCCTAAAACCCTGAAATCCTAAAAACCCTATAAACCCTCACAGCCCTCAAACCCCCTTAAGACCTAAAAACCCGAAAAGCCCTCAAGCCCTACAATCCCTAAAAGCCTTCAAACCCTTAAAACCTAAAAACCCTAAAAACCGTAAATACCTGAAAAGCCCTAAAAAACCCTAAAAGACCTTAATTACCAAAATGCATATTCCGGGGTAGTAATAAAGCCCAGATGTAGCACATGAACGTACCCTTCACCGCCAATGAGTCAGGTGTTTAGTTCTCTTCACGCAGTAAAGATCAATTTCCAAGGGGAAAGGAGAATGAAGTGAACATTAGAAGATGGAAAAGATCAGTAGTAGCTTAACGTGCCAGTAAGATAACCAAATGAAGGCCCGGATTGTATATTCTTAGTGCGTGCATACGATATTAATAAAGCCAGTTAATGCACCTGTAATGTATTGCTGGCTGTTGGTGCATTATTACTATAATCTTAACGGGCAAAGAATACGTGAAGAGAAAGAAAGGAGTAAATTTGCCCGCTAAAGACACTGAAGCCCTAAAACCCAACCCTAAACTTGCCCTAAACCCTAAACCCTAAACCCTAAACCCTAAACCCTAAACCCTAAACCCTAAACCCTAAACCCTAAACCCTAAACCCCTAAACCTCTAAACCTCTAAACCTCTAAACCTCTAAACCTCTAAAACCCTAAACCCTAAACCCCTAAAACCCACAGCCGAGTTGGTCTTGAGGTGGGCCTGGGGCACAGCAGGCTGTTGTCAGCGGTCTCCATCCACAAGTGCTTTGGTCCAGGGGTTTGTTTTAGGGGTTTTTCGGGTCTCTTAGGGTTTTGTTGTTTAGGGTTCAGGGTATTTTAGGGCTGTGTTGTTTAGGGTTCAGGGTATCTAGGGTTTTGCTGTTTAGGGTGCAGGGTATTTAGGGTTCAGGGGCGAGTTGCTTTTTGGTTTAGGATTCAGCGTATTTAGGGGTGTTTAGGGTTTTGGTGTTTAGGCTGTTTAGCCTTCGGGGCTTCGAGGTTTAGGTGTCCAGAAGTTAGGGATTTAAAGGTCTAGGGCACCTAGGTTAGGGCAATTTAGGTTTAGGGTTCAGGAGGGTTTAGGGTTTAGGGTTTAGGGTGTAGGGGCTTATGTTAGCCTAGAGTCACCCGGAAGTTTGGGGTGAGCCGTTCAAGTCCCAAGGTCTGCTGCTGCCGAGATCGCCATGTACGCCCGGCGCTTCGTATCTGATCCTCGACGTGTCAAACTAAGCCCATTTGGGTTTTGGGGCTTTAGGGTTTTTGGGTTTTTGGGTTTTTGGGTTTTAGGATTTTAGGGTTTTAGGGTCCAGGGTTAGGGTTCCCTAAACGAGTTTGAGCAGGCCATAGCCCCTATTCCCAGAGAAGCCGTTCTATGGATCTAGCCACAGGTCTTTGGTAGCCTTGTCTACATGCCCCAGATGGGGTTTACGAAAACAGGGGACCCCTAAAATAGACACCAAGTAGTAGGATTCCTGCAAAAACAGGACCCCAATAAGGTACCCCGAATATCGAAAACATCCAGATGTAGGGCTTAGGGTTGAGGGTTGACGAGTGCTCCCTTACAGGCCCTCGAGCGGCAACAGGCAACCATGGTATTCTTCAGGCTTGCTGGGCAACCTACCTTTGCAAGTTCCAAGACAAGGGATGTTTCGACAACCCTAAACCCTAAACCCTAAACCCTAAACCCTAAACC